TCTTTTAACTCTTCTTAAAATTCCATCCAATTCCATATTCAATAGGAACAACAATATCAACAAACATTAAAGCTCTGCTTTAACTCAATAATGAGAGGAGCTAAAATGAAATTGGACCAGACTGCCCTCAAATAATCAGGAATCAAATGGATTATTTACAGGGCTTCAGGTCCACTTTTGAGAATAGATTAGAGAGGCTTGACACAGCTCTAGAAAATATGCAGAAGTTTAAGATTACAGCACCAGGGAAACAAATATCAATGGCTTTTTCTAACAAACATATATTTAATGGGACTGTTAATTAGTGCCTCAGGAAATAGCCCTCCCTTTCCTCATTCATGAGCATTACACAACTGATTATCTCCAGAGAGTTTGCGCAAGCAAATAGAACAGAGGTAAGTGATCATTTTGGGTCCAATGATATATGAGCTGTTATATCCAATTTTAATCTGTCCTGTGCACTCATAAACATCAACATATGGATACATAAAGAAAGAAACAAAAAATGTTTATCAACAATACATTAATTATTGAATTGACTGCAACGATGACACCATTAAAGCCAACATCTTTAACACCTTCTTCGGCTCAATATTTGTAAACAGCAATGGATCATGCCCAGTATTTCCTAGCCGAACCACAGACAACTACAATGATCTAATACATATCGATTTTACAGAAGACAATGTTGAAAAAGCACTACGCAATCTAAAACCATCTCTATCTATTGGACTGGATGGAATATGTGCCTACTTCTTCAAAAAGCTATCCACTGCCATAGCCGAACCTCTAAGCATAATCTTTGAAAAATCTTTCAGGACCAGCTCCTTGCCTAACCTATGGTCAACCTATGGTTTTACATCTATTTTTCCCCTCCTTTTTGATTTTGTAATATTTTAGGCTAGAGGCTCCCTTTTAGTTATTTCTTTTTTAAAAAAATATCTTTTTTTTAAATTAATTCTTATTATATCTTGCTTGGAAAAGGAGGGGGAAAGTGAGAGCAAAGAAACTTTGTAACACTGCCAACTAGAGGCTTGAAAATATTCTATTTCCCTGTGACCAGACAAAGCTGAGAAAGAAAGAACTGAGACTCTTTTTCAAGGACATTGCTATTTGATAAGATAGAGGGAAGAGCATGGGAGAGTATTATTACAGGTGGTCTTCTGGGTTTCCATCAACAGCTAGAGTCTGGTGTTGAAACCTAGGGGGAAAAATGGTGATAATTTTTTGGAGAAGAGAGCTATAATAAGAGCCTTGGATAATTTAACAAAGTGCAGTGTGCTCTTTTTACTTTTTCTTAAGTTGTGCTATCCCTCCTCACCAGCTTTATTGTATTTAATTTTCTCTTTTTTTTTCTTGTAATAACTATTTGAGTTTTTGGCTTTGTTGGAGCTTGTCTTTGTTTTTCTTTTCTTTTTTTTGGAAGTCCAATCTCTACGTTTGCTTTTTATTTTAAAGGGAAAGCTTTAGTATTAATGTTTTTTTTTTTTTAAGGGAATAGCCTTTTTTTCCCTTTCCTGGTATTTTTGTTTTTTCATCTACCTTTCTGGTTTATTCTTATGCACTCTTTTCTATTTGAGACCTTTCAATTGGATTAAGGTGTTGAAGAACCTGAAGAATTTTTTCCTTTTCCTTTTTTTTTCTCTTTTTTTCCCCAAGCCTTTTTCTTCATCTAACTACTGATTGGATTAAGGTATACAAGAACATGAAGAAATTTTGTCCTCCCTTTTTTTTCTTTTTTCTTTAATCATTATTATTGGGCTTCTTTTTTCTACTATTTTTATTTTGAACTATAATTGGTTACTTCACAATTGCGCAAATACATTCAAGGTATGATAAAGATTCTAAAATGGAAGGTTTCTATGATAAATTGACTGATTTAGATAAGATTTTGACAGGTACTGATGAAAAGGTGATTAAAAAATTGTATGGATATTTATTAGAAATTAAATTAGAAGAAGAACAAGTTGAAGAAACTATGATTGCTTGGGGGAAGAATTTTGGATATGAGATCGATTTAGAGAAATGGCAAAAATTGTGGTCTCAAAAGTATAAAATGACAATGTCAACAGCACATAAAATTTTTTTGTATAAGATGTTTTACAGGTGGCATTTCCCCCGACAAGAATAGCAAGAATGTTCAAGAATAAATCCGAAAAATGTTGGAAATGTCGTCAGACACCTGGCTCATATTACCATATGTGGTGGACTTGTGCGGATGCTAAAAAATACTGGACTAAAATCCACATGTGGTTGGAAAAAATGACAAAAAAACATATAGACTTGAAACCAGAGATATTTTTATTGGGAATTTTACCTGAAATATATAGTAAAGACTTGAAATACCTGATTGTAAATGTATTAACAGCGGCTAGGATTGTATTTGCTAAAAATTGGAAAAATGAGAAAATACCATCACAGGAGGAAATCATTAAGAAAATATTGGAATGTGCTGAAATGAGTAGATTGACATTTGAAATTAGATAACAAGAGGATAAACAATTTTATAAAATTTGGGATCTTTTCTATCAATGGTTAGACAATAAAATACAGTAATGAAATATGTAGACTTTTAGAAAATAATAAATATATAAAGATGTGCTTCTTTCTTATTATATCTACAAAATGATTTTAGGATAGATTTGGGATGATAATATGAACTGTTATAAAATAAACTAAGTAAATTATGATTATCTTGTAAAACATGAATGAATTAAAGTATAGTCAAAAGATTGATTAATAATGATACTAAGGTATTTAATTTTTGATTGAAAATATGAGATTATATGCAATGTAATTGTAATTGAAGACTACGAAATGGAAGCACAAAACAATTTGTAAACCAACCGGCACACTGTATGTACACATATGGAAGATAGCTTGATGTTTTTATGTTTTGCTTGTTTATGTTTGTTTTTAAAAACCAATACAATTTTTTTTAATTAATACTGCTTTTTCAATTATAATTTGAAATAACAATTAAAATCAGACCCCCTAGTAACAACATTGTGAAGTAGAGAGCGCCATCTGCTGATGAGAGGAAAAAATACTACTCTGAGAACAACCATTTGAAGGATTGTGAAAACATTCAACTACCCTAAGATCACTGGAGACTTGAATATTTAAATAAGATCTTCATTAAAAGACCCTTGAATGTTATGTTATATGATTGAATCCACAAAAGTGATTTGAGGAGGCTTGGATAACACCCTGGTCTTTTTAAATGGATTTGACTGATTATTTATGAGATATAAAGAACTGTGATTTGTATAATAAACTCAGCTTTGAATAAATGGTTCCTGGACTTTTGGCTAAAAGCGGGACCTACTAAAATAAACTACACAACACAAGGTGGAAATGAGTGGAATATCACACTGTTCAGACATTGATATGTATAAGCAATATAAAATAAAAAACTTGACAAAAAACCAATAGATTAATTATTGAATTGACTAATTAGGATTAATTACTGGGCCACCTCATTAAAATGATTTCCCCCCCCAAAAAAATTAAAAATTCTGAAAGTTCATTTTCATGATGACCAAAATTTAAGCTGAAATTTCTATTATTAGACATTAGTTTTCTAGAATAAAAGAGTAAAATAGTTGAAGGGACATATATTATCTTCAACAAATGGCTGTCCAAAACCTCCAATGACAGGGTACCCTGTCCCACAAAATGGCCCCACAACTTCTGGAGTTAACCATTCCACTGATTAATTGTTTAATGTTGTCGGGAATTCTTTTTGCCCCTCCTGTGAATTGCCCCTCCTGTGGGTAATGTTGATGATATCTTCTTGATATAGTATGTAACTGTAAAATCTTTTTTACACTTACAACGAGCTCAACTACCACAAGATTTTAAAATTTTACTGCCTAGATTGTAAACTTTATTGTCCGGATAGTAAATCTTATTGCCTTCTACTAAATTATCACTCTATCCGGGTTGTCAGACTCGATTTTAACATGAGTCAGTTTCAGCATTGTGGTTGTCCTTCAGGAGCTGGTGGGGAGGAGGGGCATGGCCAGGGTGGTCACAGCTGACTGATGTCACTCACATGGGTGTTACTTGTGGGGGCCGGGTGGGGTTAAGGAAGGAATCCGGGGGTCTCTGGTGGGTGGGGTGGTGGGTGGGAGACTTGACCCACAGGATGAGGTGAGGTGAGGCAGGGGATGGGGCAATTACATCTGTAGCTGCAACCTGCCATCCCTTCAGCTGGCCAGCTGGAAAGGCTGCGGGACCGAGGTACATTGGGTTCACAAGAGCAGTGCTTCGCCAGCAGGCCCAGCAGGAAGAAAGGGAGGGTGCAGTGCTTCCCTGCCCACTACCAGACTCAACTTGCTGGCTAGGCTTCCCTGAAGCATGACAGGTGATGGGGTAGGAAGCAGCATCTGTCCCAAGGCTGGAGGAAGAAGACCTTTCCACAGGAAGTGGACCTTTGAGCCCTGGGCAATGGTTCGGGTTGTGCCCTCCTGACTCTCCCCATGAGCCTCTAGCTGCCCCGCCACTTACCAGGTGCCTCCATGGGGCTGAAGGGTCCTTGTCCACATGCAGGCACCTCTTTACAGAGCAGTAAAGCCTCACTGGGTGAAATCTCTGCTGCCGCATCCTGCACTGCCTGCTCTGGGCTTGTTGGGGAAGGTCTCCACAGAAGAGATGTGGTGGGTGGGAAGTGTCACTGGGTGTTGGCCTGCCTCCCTGCATTGCCTCTGTGCATCCCCATGATGCACAGCCACTTGTTCAAGTGACAAGACAGCCACTTGACAAGACAACCACTTGTTCACTGGCCAGGCCAAGCGTGGCTGCTCCAGCTGCACCTTGGGGCTCCCTAGTGGTCCCAGTGCACCCCACCTCTCCCTCTCCCCAAGTGGGGAGCTGACACCGCTGCAGGGCACAGAGCAGGTGGGGAAGCTCAAGGATTGTTATGTAGCAGCTGGAGGTGCATGCTGGCCACCCAGGTGGAGGGCTGGTACAGTGGGGCTGGTGAGGAGGGGGTGGCCATGGGGGCCACTACTTCCTGGGGGGAGCGGGCCTCTGATGGTGGCAGCAGCATCCCCCTGATCCATGAGGAAGAGGAGGAGGAAGTGATGGTGGCAGCTGAAGGGTAAGTGTTGGCTGAGATGATGCTGGCCCGCTGCCTCCTGTGTGCATGCGCACACACTGGGATGGGGTGGGCTGGGCTTAAGCAATGCAGGCCAGCCCATTACAATTTCCAGGACAGCCATGTAGGCCAGTTCTGACCATGTCACTGGGCCAAATTCGGCCTGTGGGCCTTCAGTTTGACACCCATACTCTGACCTCTTTTTCTGATTACAAATTGTCAGAGGTCGCAAAAAATTTTAACAATATTTTTAAATTTTAAAATATTATAAATATCTTTGTGGATTTTTGTGGACTACCTTTATATAATCACACACCCACACCCACATGCCTGTGTGTGTGTGTGTGTGTGTGTGTGTGTATAAAGTATTATACAAAGGTAGTCCAAGGTAGTCCAAAAATCCACAAAGATATTTACAATATTTTAAATAAAATTGTAAAAAATATTGCAATCTCTGACAATTTGTAATCAGAAAAAGAGGACAGAGTGATAATTGTGGCTCAAGGCAATAAAATTTACTGTCCGGGCAATAAAGTTTACGATTTAGGCAGTAAAATTTTAAAATCTTCTGGTGATAGTTATAACAACTTCATAAAGTGATCACTCAGTTTTCTCCGGAAGATTCAATATATACAAAAAATTGTGATCAATTCCTTTATGTTTAGGGTTGTTTTTTTAAATAGATTATTCATGTAAGCCCCTCTTTTGCTTGCCTGCATGCTGTCTGATTACTTTCAGTTTTGCTGCTCATCCAAGCAGGTCCATCAGTCAGAGCAAGCCAGTTAGGCTGAGATTCATTGGAATGTACCCACCCCTGGTAGACCAACTACTATCCTGCTACACTCAGGGATTTCCTCCCCCAAGGGCATTGCAATACATCGATGAAGATTCTCAGTCTAATAGAATATAATAATAAAAAAAACATTCACAAAATCACTCAGGAAAAAGATTTGGGGATGCAAAATGCGGTCATCCAATCTCTTCTCTCTCTTTTCTTTTTGTTGTTGCAGATCAGCCCTTTGATGTAGTCCCAATTGTCACAGCTGCTGTTGGTAATGTGATGTATTTGTTATCTTTGGAAATCGATACTCTTATGAAGATAAAACCTTCATTGAGCTATTGCAAATTGTAAAGGCATTCACAGGATTCTTTTTTAATGTTCCTAGCATGGTATGTCAAATTTTATGTGCTTCTACAAGCAGGTTTTTTTTCTTTGTTTAAGAGTCAGAGAGTTCCAATTGTTCATTTCAACCTACAAAAATGGGAAGCTTTTTAAAGTGGTCATTTAAAAAGTGTGTTGTGAGAATCACACTGCATTCAAGTGACAATTCCTTTTGCTCCTGATTAGTTCATATGTTGCTACCAAGCAATTATACTTTCCAAGTTATTGATGATATACAAAGCTTCAGCACTGCTTCTTTAGAGATAACTATGCTAACTTGTAACTATTGCCGTTTCAGAGGCAATTACTTTTTAAGTCTTCTGTAATTGCCCAGTTTTCCTTCTACTGTTTCTCATAGTAGTAACTAAGAAGAGAACTGAAGAGTCTCTTTGAAATTCTTTGATTAGGCCAGGGCTGTCAAACTGGCAACCCCTGGGCCAGATGTGTCAGTGCACACCCACCCTGGCTCCACAAAGCCAAAAAATACATCGCGATAAGTCATGATATGTCACACGATGCAACTGAGTTTGACACCCGTGGATTAGGCTCTTTACTGTTGGCTTCTTTGGCAGTTTCTTGATCATTGTTATTGTTTACTTGATTGTTGGTCTGATAATACTCTTGGAGTTATTCTATGCTGATCTGGGTGCTTAGGACTTTTTGTTCTCTGTTTGGCTAGTTGATTTTCTTGTTTGCATAATCTACAGACATTGTTGATATCAATGTGTCTATTTATGGTTAATTTGTCAGAGTGCCAGGCTTCTAGAAATTCCCTAGCATTTTTTGACTTTACTTGGTTTATGATGGTCACACTTTCCCAATGGAAACTATGGCTTAGCCAGTACATATGTTGTAAAATTAAAGAATTTCCATCATGTCTTCTGACTCGTAGTTGGTGTTCATGGATGTGATCTACAAGTCTTCTGCCTGTTTGTCCTACATAGTGGTTACTGCAGTCATTACATTGTATGTTGTAAAATTTGAAGGGCTTTAGTTGGCTTGTGGGCTGCACTGATTCCATGTGGGTGTAATAATCTGTTGGTGGTTTCTGAGATATTCTTTTTTTTTTTTTTTTAAACAGACTTTATTCAGTTTTCACATTAAAAACAAAAATCTCTTTTTAGTGGACAACATATTTCCGGGTCATCATCTTTACATACAAATATGACAGAAATTATACATTGATATATGCATACTTAATTCTATTATTACCTTTTCCATTCCAAATTTTCAGTAAGGAGAGAAACAAACACATTAATTCTAGCCTCTTTCATTAATTTCAATCAATTTTGTTTCATTTCAATTATTTCAAATATAATCCTTTAGTATTTGTTTTTAAACATAAAGATAAACAATATATATTTGCCTAATAAATAATAATAAGGTTTAATTCTAAATTTTTTCATTAATCCCAATCTAAACATTTTTAAATTTCATTTCAATTATTTCAAGTATAATCCTTAATATTTATTTTAAAAATAAAAATAAACAATATATATTTGCCTAATAGTGGTAATAATGAAGTTACCAATGTCTCTCCTTGCTTTTAATAATCTATATTAAACTTATTAAGCTTATTAATTTAGCTGGTTCTTTAGTCTGTCACATTCCCTTTCCATTACACTTTTTTTTTATAAATTCTAAATTAATACAGATCTTAACACACCCACACAAAAAGAAAAAAGAACAAGTATAAGTTTCCCCTCTTTTACTATTTTGAGTGTGACACCTTAATGATTAGAATATATCTTTATTCCCTCATCTTAATTCCCAATAAACCATTAGTCATTACATCTTCTCAATTGGATTCCACAGCATATTTCCCCCCCTTTAATAAGAGTTATCAGTATCTATATTACCCTATTTTCTAAATATTTTTAATTGCAGAAATATTCTTATTACCCCTTGTCACCCTGCAGAATCCCCCTTTTAAATCATCAACCATTATCTCTGAAAAGGCCATTTCTTTTCAACATTTTACTAGTTCTGTGTTTCTCTCTTTCACATGCCTGTTTCTTACTGCTTCTCCTCCCCCTCTCTTGCCCATGTCTTTTCTCATTCTTTCTGGATTTCCTGACTTCACAAGTATTCCTTCTTTTAATTGTAAAGAAACAATTTCCTTTCAACATTTTACTAGTTCTGTGTTTCTCTCTTTCACATGCGTGTTTCTTGATGTATGGCAGTATAATTTGCTATGTTCTGTTGGTTCTGTTACATTGGATTAAGTGATCAGGCACTTTTTGATAAAGTTACGTGGTTATCCATTTTGTAATGACAAAGTGAAAACAGAAGTATCTGTAAATTTATTAAAAAAACAAACCCTGAAATATCACATTAGCACAAATATTTAGACCCTTCACTCAGTACTTTGTTGAAGCACCTTTGGCAGCAATAACAGTCTTTTGGGGTAAAATGCAACAAGCTTTGCACACCTGGATTGGGGGGTTTTCTGCCATTCTTCCTTGCTAATCCTTTTAAGATCAGTCAGGTTGGATGGTGACTGTCAGTGGACAGCCATTTTCAGGTCCCTCCAGAAATGTTCAATAGGATTCAAGTCAGGGCTCTGGCTGGGCCACTCTAGGACATTTACAGAGTTGTCCCTAAGCCATTCCTGCATTGTCTTGGCTGTGTGCTTAGGATCGTTGTCATGTTGTTTATACTCATGTGAATAATGTTCTTATACATCTTAAAACCTTGCGGGAGATTAACAGAATAAAGGGAAGGTGAGAGAGAGAAAGAATTTCACCTGTTATCATATGTAGTGGACTTGTATGAAAGCAAGAAAATATTGAACAAAAATACATATATTGGTGGAAAAGATGATTAAACAACATATAGATCTGAAGCCAGAAATATTTTTGTTGGGTATAATGCCAGAGGGCTATGATAAAGGGATTGCATATTTAGCCTTGCATGTATTGACAGCTGCAAGGATTGTATTTGCACAATATTGGAAAAATGAGAAAACTCCATCAGATGATTAGATGAGGACATAATTTGGGAGATACTAGAGTGTGCAGAGATGGATAAATTGACATTAAAAATTAAGGACAAAAAAAGACACAGAATATTACTTAACATTGAATAGATTTTATGGCTGGTTAGAGATAAGAGGTAGAAAGTAGGCAAAGAAAGACTACTATTATGTATGAATTAAATATAAAGAGTGTTTATAATTATAAACATGTTGATATAATTAACAGAATTATAAACAAGATAATATAAAGAGAAATCTAGTTAAAACGACTCTGTTACATCATCATCATCATCATCATCATCATCATCATCATCAGTAGTAGTAGTAGTAGTAGTAGTAATATAATACATGTCAATATCTCTGTTTTTGTCATGCCCCTGTTGGAGTCTGAATCCGGAGTGGGAGTGAGGCTCTGTTGGCTGTGGAGGAAACTGGGGAAAGGCCAAGTCCAGCTGGGCAGAGCAGGAAAGAGGTAGAACAAGGGAGAGGGAATTCAGAGGAAGACCCAGGCCCATTCTCTCTTCATTCTGGGGCATGCAGGGAGGAATGAAGAAGAGAGCAACGTGGGTTGCGTAGCTTACAGGGGAGGAAAGGGCCCTGATTCCCTTCATTAGCCACACCTGGGAAGAAAGTTTAAGAGACATGCAGGCTGCATGCAGCAGCTACTGGGAGCAAACGTGACTTTATCTTGTGTTGACTTTGCTTATCTGTGTTCCTGGCATCTTTCCAATCATGTGAGTTTTGCCATGCCTTCACATCTGGAATTCTTGCTCCTGCCCTGCTAAACTAATTACCTCAGTTTGTCTTGATTGGACTTAAAGTTACAGTTTTTGTTGACCCAGCTTGGACTTGATTCTCTGCAGTTAAAGGCTGTTCCTTCGAGAGTTTTTTTCCCCCGCCAGAAGGTAACCTGGATATTGGAGGCAAAGTTAGAGCCATTAAAGGGACTCTTCTTGATTATCTGACTGTGTTGCCTTTGTGCCACACCCCGAGTCATCACAGTTTTCTTCTTGATTTTTTGTAAATGATATGCCCTGACAATACACAGTATTCAAAATGCTTATGAATAAAAATAAAACATATACTAAAAAAAGAGAATGAGACAGAAAGTATTTCAATAGACCATAATCTATACAGATACAATATTTGAGAAGAAGACTGATGAGCAGATAAATGCAGATCAAGTTGCAAAGCAGGTAGTGCAGCTAAGGGTAATTCATGTAAATCAGGGGTCCTCAACTACCGGGCCGCGGACCGGTACCGGTCCGTGGAGCACTCTGTACCGGGCCGCAAATAAAAAAAATGGCGGCTTTCTTCGCCTTCGGTGAATGCTGCTGGGATCGGGGATCAAGGACACAAATGAGAGAAGGGGAGGGAGGAAGCAACCAAAACCTGTCCTGCTCTCTGGCTCAGCGGCTTCGGTTTCCTCCCGCCTCGTTCCTCTCTCAGTCGCTCTCTCGCTGCTCCACCAGCCCAGGAAGAAACTGCTTCAAAGAAGCCGGGGGGTGGCTTTTCCTGTCGCCACAGCTCCTCCGAAGCGCCCGTTCACCCCCACCCCACCCGCCCACGCGCGGTTCAATCCACAGTGCTCCGTTCTGCCTGCCTGCCTGCCTTCTTCATTTCTGGTGAGAATAATAACTATTCGCCTCTTTTTATCAGCCGAACCTGCTCCGAAACGAAGAAGGCAGGCAGAACGGAGCACTGTGGATTGAACCACGCACGGGCGGGCGGGGTGGGGGTAAACGGGCGCTTCGAAGGAGCTGCGGCGACAGGAAAAGCCACCCCCCCGGCTTCTTTGAAGCAGTTTCTTCCTGGGCTGGTGGAGCAGCGAGAGAGCGACTGAGAGAGGAACGAGGCAGACACCTGAGGGAGGGAGGGAGACACCTGAGGGAGGGAGACACCTGAGGGATGGGGCTGAGGGAGGCAGGGCCGAGGCGCTCCCTGAACTTGGTGGTTTGCTAGCAGACGTTTTATTACCCGACTAAGTAACAACATCAGATGTTACCTAGTCAGGTAATGAAACGTCTGCAA